CGCGCGCTCAGCAGCGTGCTCGACGAGCCTTCCAAAGCCTCCGTCGCGCTGCCGCTCTCAGGGCTCGTCGCCCTCGGCTGCTCTGCCTGCGGCCCCTCTCGGGCCTCTCGGCGCCTCTCCTCGGAGGCAGCGGCTGACGTGGACCGGCCTCTCGCCGCCTGCCTCTGCCCTGGAGCTAGATCCGCTGCCGATGGGAACCAGCGCGGGGCTGAGAGGAGGCGAGATCACGAGTGGAATGCGCGGGGGACGCGGAGGCACGTCACCGCTGGCGGCGGGGCTCTCTACGCGATGAGCCTGCCTCCAGTGCCATGGCACTCCAGATTCAACGTCACGGAGGATGGCAGCGCGCGCGCCGCTCCAGCATCCCAAGAGCGAGATATGCAGATGCTGGAGGAGGACAAGAGTCGGCACTGGAAGGTGGGGAAGCTGGAGGGTCCTGTTGCCTGGCCCGATATGTGAGGCCTGGGCTGCCAGTGTACACTCTGGCCGAGTTGCGCAGGCGTCCCAAGAGTTTCAGAGCTGCCAACGGCATCAGCTTTGACCAACTCGCCCCGCGGCAGCTGCTCGAGCTGCCAGACCACGGGCCCGTTCCAGGCAAGTCGTTCTTCTCTTCGACCGTCCGCACACACGGTCAGAGATTACATTCATCACCGTGTTTCTGTGAAACCGCGACGGGGGCATTGGGCCCACCGCGCTGCTGCACGTGGCCACCAGAGTTCCATGTCGACTTCGTGGGTGGCTGCTCAGATGCGGGCAAGAGACGAACTCTCGGGATATTGGGTGGTCTACCCCGGGGAAGGGGTCTGAACGCATCGACGGGGTGCAGACGGCCTGCTCGGAGAAAGCTTTCCTCGGGAACGGTGGTGCTCGACCTCGTGAAAGCGTTCCAGAACGTAAGACGCGGCGCGTTCGCCGATGCGGCTCGGCGATCTGGCTTCCCTCTGCGTCGGTTCAGGCTGCTTGTCAGGGGTGCTTGGATGCGCTGGACTCAATTCGCATCCCAGTTCCACGCAGCAAGGGCGTGCTCGCGGCTGCCGGTTTACCGCTCT